ATTTGTTCCAAATGAAAAAGACTGTGAATCTCTAAGTCCCTTCCTGCTCCTTCACATGCATCTCTCTATCCGTGTTCCTGTCTCCTCTGTCCTCTCTATGGCTAATTCCTGTACTAGCTGTTAGCTCTGTCCCCTGATCCAGGGCTAATTTTAAGTTTCACAGTGTGATCAAATGTCCTACAAGAGAGAATTATTCTATAAGTCCTGTCTCTCGAGAGAACCCTGACTAATACACATGTCTACCCATTTCTCTGCCAATTTCATAGTTTCATTTTTCCTTACATCTGAATGAGATTTCTTTATAATGTGTTGTCCTCTTCCCCTGCCCTCCCAACCAGGCCCCCAAGTCGTCACCCACCCAATATCCACTCTGATCCCCGGGGAGGAGACATTTTCATTATCCATTCATCTTAACTGATTTTATTTCATTGTTATTGTGAACATAGTGCAGCAATGAGCATGATGTGCCAGTATCATTATCTCTCTGGCAGGATACACAGCCCGACAGCTGTATACCACCCAGAAGTAGAAGTCATATGGTGGTTATATCTTTTGCCTTTTTGAGAAACCCCTATGCTAGTTTCCATAATAGTTGTAATATTAGTTACCCTCTTAACATTATCAACTTTCCCTCCTGCCCCACACACTCACTAGTATTTGGTGCTTCACCAGTATCTTTTGCAAAAAATAATTTAATTTTATGGAAGCATGGTTTACCAATTGCTGATTTTCTGGATTGTGTATTTAGCACTTTATCTAAAAGGCTATCTATCACTTACCTCTGATAATATAGTATTTCTGGAGCTGGAGAGATGGCTCAGTGGTTAAGAACACTGACTGCAGATAGATAGATAGATAGATAGATAGATAGATAGATAGATAGATAACACTGACTGCACTTCCAGAGGACCCAGGTTCAATTCCCAGCACCTAAATGCAGTTCACAACTGTCTACAACTCCAGTTCTAAGGGGATCTGCACCTTCGTTGGACCTCTGTGGACACTGAACATATATGGTACCCAGAGATGGTATACAGACATTCATGCAGCCAATACATCCATGCACATAAAACAAAAATAATAAATTTTTAAAAAAACATCCTGAGTGAGGTAACACAGACACAACATGTACTCACTCATAAGTGGATACTAGATGTAAAGCAAAGAATAACCAAATTACAATCCACAGCTCCAGAGAAGGTAGGTAACAAGGAGGGCCCTAAGCGGGACACATGGCTTACCCTAGGAAGGGGAAATAGATGAGATCTCCTGGGTAAACTGGGGGCAGGGGACAGTAGCGGAGCGAGGAGGAAGGATGAGAACATGAGGGAATGGATGGTTGAGTTGGGGGAGGGATGGAGTGGGAGAGCAGTGAAAGAGATATCTTGATAGAGGGAGCCATTATGGGGCTATGGAGAAACCTGGTGCTAGGGAAACTCCCAGGAATCCACGAGGATGACCCCAGCTAAGACTCCTAGCAATAGTGAACTGACCTTCCCCTGTATTCAGATTGATGACTACCAAAACCATCATCACAGGCCTTTCATTTAATAACTGATGGAAGCAGATGCAGAGATCTGTAGCCAAGCATTGGATGAGCTCCTGGACTTCAGCTGAATAGATGGAGGAGAAATTAAATGAGCAAAGGAGTCAATATCATGATGGGGAAACCCACAGAGATATCTGACCCAAGCTCATGGGAGTTCATGGACACTAAACCAACAACTGGGGAGACTGCATGGGACCTAACTAGGCCCTCCAAATGTAGGCAACAGTTGCATAGCTTGATCTGTTTGAGGGACCCCTAGCAGCCTTGTGCATGAGCTGGCTTTTTGGAACCTATTCCCTCTAGGGGGATGTCTTACTCAGCCTTGATGCAGGGGTTGGGGGCTTTGGTCCTTCCTCAACTTAATTTGCCAGGCTTTGTTGACTTTCCATGGGAGGCGTTGCCCTTTATGAGGAGAAGATGGGGAGAGGATTTGGGGGGAGGTGAAGGGAGAGTTCCAGGAGATGGAGGGGGAACTATGAATGGTATTTAAGATGAGCAAAAATTTTAAAATAAAAAATGAAAAAGGTAATATAGGTTTTCTGATAGTTTGTCTTCTGTGAGTTCTACAATTATGTATTTTACCCCTGGCCTGATCCACTCAACAGAGAAGTCAGGATTATTGGTGTGTATTTATACTCAGCAGTTTTGTTTTTAACAATGAGCCAGGTATGATGACATACATCTATAATCCCATGGCTCACGAGGCTGACACAGGAGCACTGTAAGTCCTGGGACAGCCTGGGCTATGCAGTAAGTTCTAGGCCAGCCTAAGATGCTAATGATAACCCATCTCAACAAACAATAGAAGACATGAAACTTCCAGACAAAAATGTAGGGAAACACATGCACATTTGTCTAGACAGACTTTCATTTTCCTTTCTCTTCTTTCATGTGATGTGTCTTGAATATATCCCTTCTCCTCCCCCAACTCCTCCCAGGTCCTTCCCACCTCCCTACCCACTCAGCTTCATGTTCCTCCTCTCTCTATCACTCAGAGAAAAAAACGACAAAAGATGAAAATCAAAATTAAGAAATAAAACCGATACAAGAAAATCACATAAACAATTAGATTGGACTAACATAAGTTTAAAGCTCACTATTCATCTAACTATATAGGTAGTGAAGAGGCATCTCAAAAATGGTTCTATCTATCTATCTCTGTGTCTATCTAGGAGTCTTCCATCTACATAACTATCTCTCTGCCCATGTGCCTATCTGTTTATCATGTATCAAATCAGAATATAAATGCATACTTCAATGGGAAATTGATAAAATGTAACAAAACATGATTTAAGTATTTAGTTTATACAAGGAGCTATATCACTGGCCATATGGCACATAAATCATTCAAACTAGATTTATAACAAAGAAAAATTAACTTAAAACTCTATGAGATTCTGCAACATAGTCAAACAGGAGGAGCTGATGCAATGCAGTGGCAGAATGTTTACACAGTGTGCCCTTGGTTCCATCACCAGCACCACAAAGAAATAAATGAAGAAAATTTAAAAATCTTGTAATACAAGTCTTGATGAGCATTTGGAACTGCCAAAACTCTCTTTTACTACAAATGGAAGAATAAATTGTTAAAATCTTCTGGGGTACCATTAATATTAGTTATTTTTCCCTGCCCAATATTTCACTCTTTTTTTGAGATTGTAATACAGTTGCAACATTTCTTCGCTCCATTTCCTCTCTCCTCTGACATAACTCTCCCTGCTTTCTTTTGAGTTCATATCCCTTTTTATTGTTATTTCATATATATAACTTGCTTGGTTTTCAGGACTGACTATTTGGAATTGCATAAGTAATTAGTGTGCTCTTCTGGGGAAGATTATTTCTCCTTCTCTAAGCTGGAAGCATAGATAACTACTCAGTTCTAGTGAAGTCATGAATATTGGAGGAGAATCTACAACCACTAATTTACTAACCCAGCAAATCCCTAAAAACAATGCATAAACATTTGTCCTTACACCTAAGGATAAGTGTAGTCATCAAGGAAACTTCTTTGGCAATCTATAAATAAAATAGAAATCCCTATTGACAGCCACAGTATGTTCCCTCTCCTTGGGGATTCAGAGACAATTAGTCCTTCTCCTCGCCAGTGGGAACTCTGTGGCATTCATACACGGTAAATATTCCCCTATGTGCCACCTCCAGGCTTTCCTGTTCAAATATTGTAACTTCAGAGATATATCCCCCCACATGCAAACCTTGGGTTTCCATTTCCACTATATGACATAAAGAGTGTGAATCTCTTAAAAGGTCTGGAGTGTGAAATTGTCTGAAAGGAACAGTGGTGGCTGCAGTGGTTGAAAACAGTTGGGTAAGTGTTCAATCAGATGACCACTGTTCAGGTGTGGGCTTTTCTGCTTACTCACTATGTCCTACTTAGACAAACAACTGAGTTCATGCAATTTATCATATTTCTCACTGTTCTTTGACTGGTTTTCTTGCCAGACTAAGGACTGTCACATGTCCTGGGCAGTTTATTCTTAGTCTCGTTGCTTCTACTCTTGATAGTTAATTACTTCTTCAGGTCTCAGATTTTATTTAAAATTTTCAAAATAATTTTCCTGAATTCAAAATACATACTCATAACATAAACTTTTAACATTATAAGCACAGTCATCCTTTCAATGCCAATCCTAGCTTCTGACTATATGTTTAACTGTTTTGTTTACTACCAGTGTCCCGTTATCCTAGAATCAAAGGGACTGTGTTCACTGGGACTTACCTAAGATATTTTGAATCCATGGGTATATCCAGCATTAGATAAACAATAAAAGTACAGAAAAAGTTACAAACATGGTACCCTAGACCTACAGTAGAGTGATTTTAAAGACTAGATCTAGGGCTGGGAAGGTATATGGCCAAGCAAGTGTGAGGACTTGAGTTTGATACCAAGAACCCATGCAAAACCAAACACTGTAGCATGCATCTGTAATTTTCACCACTGCTACTGAGATATGGGGGTAGAGACAAGAGAATCTCAGAAGTTCGCAGGCTAGCTTTTCCTGCCTCTTTATCTCCCCACCCCCAATATCCTCTACTCACCCCACTTGAGCCGCAACTGCCTTCTGTCCCCTCTAAATAGATGTGCACATCACCATAGCGGTGTTTATTTATCCCTTTGAGGATAAATACCTGTCTGACTTTATCTCATCCACTCCTCCAATAGTGATCTACTTGATAACCCCTAAACTTGAAGTTATCTGACAGTGGTGGTAGCATCTTCTTTTCTTTTCTTATGAATCTATTTGTTGAGTCCATGACAGCTCTGACCAAAACATTGTCCACATGAGAAAAGGAACCCAAGATAGCGGCTGACACACATAAGTATTCAGGGAACATGGAGTGACTACATGAGTCCTGATGGTCCCATTAGTGTTAGATTAGCAGCCAATTTAAGTACAAACTCTAAGTGAGAATTGTCAGGACTTTAACTTACCTGTGCTTTCTAGGAGACTCGGTTCCTTTTGAGCACATCTGTTGTTATTGTTTTAATAGAGAATGTTCTCCAAAGGCCTGTGTCTTATAGGCTTGGTGCAAGTTTAGTGTTGATGGTAGGTGGTGGAAAGTGGTAAGTGGGGCTCAGTCAGAAGCTCCAGCTCCCTCTTCAGAGGGGATTGTGAGGTCCTTGCCTCTTCCCTTTCCCATTTTTCATGTCATAGTCATAAACTGAGGTCCCAGCTATGAGTAAGTGAGGGTTTCTGCTCTACTATGTACTCCCTGAGATGGTGTGCTACTATGCCACAGACCTAGACACAAGGAACCTTGAACCAAAACCCCAACACTTGTCTTTAATTGGTTTCTCAGGTGTTTATTCTAGTGCTATTGGAGCTAATGTGGTACCCATGCTCATGACCAGCTCAGAGTCTTTTGAGGCATGAGGTTCTTTTGGGTCTCAGTGAAAGAATGCATACCTATAAACAGTCTAATGTCATCTTGATTTTGTATCTCTGTTCCCATCAAGGCAATATCTAAGAAAAATTCATAATGTACCATCTTCCATTCTATCTTTTAGTTCCACTGAATTATGAAAACAAAAAACCACAGCAGTGTTTCTGAATTTCTCCTCCTGGGCCTCTCTGAGCATCAAGAACAGCAACCTTTCCTCTTTGGTATCTTCTTTGTCATATACCTAGTCACTGTGGTAGGGAACATGCTCATTCTCCTGGCAATTGGCTCTCATCCACGCCTCCACACACCCATGTATTTCTTTCTGGCCAACTTCTCCCTCACTGACCTGTGTTTATCATCTACAACAGTCCCCAGGATGCTAGTGAACATCCAAGCTCACAGGCACACCATCCCTTACACTGGATGCCTGTCTCAGATCTATTTCTTCCTGTGGTTCATTGGACTTGATGTTTTCCTCCTGGCAGTGATGGCTTATGACAGGCTTGTGGCCATATGCTATCCCCTTCACTACACTTTGGTCATGAGTCCCAGATGCTGCATCCTGCTGGTAACCATATCCCTGTTCCTTGCCCATTCATACTCTCTAACACACATCATTCTCCTAGCTCAGTTATCCTTCTGCATGGACAACATCATTCCCCATTTCTTTTGTGAACTGCTTCCTCTGTTGAAGCTCTCTTGTTCTGACACTTATGCCAACCAGTGTGTGCTGCTCTACTGGGGAGGGGCATTAACTGTTTTGATTCCTTTGCTAATCATTGTTTCATATATTCGCATTGTGGTCACAATTGTGAGAATCCCATCATCAAGTGGAAAATGGAAGACCTTCTCCACCTGTGGATCCCATCTCTCAGCAGTTTTCCTGTTCTATGTGTCCGCAATTGGAGTGTACTTCATTCCATCTGCTACTGACTCCACCAGCAAGGACAGGATTGCAGCAGTGATGTATGCTGTGGTGACCCCCATGCTGAACCCATTCATCTATAGCCTGAGAAACAAAGATATAAAGAGTGCCTTGAGAAGATTCTTGAACAGAAGTACACTGCAATCTCCACAAGGTTAAAACATCCTTTTGAGAACTTTGGCGAAGTAAACTTATAGAATTGGCTTCATGCTGAAGTTAAAATCTTGGATCTTGTACTTGCTAACTTTACAAAGACAGACTTTAAAAAGTTCATTGAGAGACATTTTCTCATTTAATAAGAGGGGATAAAAGCATGATATCTATTGTAAATGTCTCTGAGAGGCGTGTGTATGCACATACATGTGTGTATTTGCTTGGTTTAATTCATTTGCTTAGATATTCATTATCATCAGCAATATTCAACATGTTCTCCTGAGGTCAACTTTTCTTCTTCTTTTTATTAAACATAACAACAGTAAAAACACCAGAGGCTCCTAGAGATTAAATTACCTGTCTGAAATCACAGAGATAATCAGTGGCAAAAACAATTGTTACAGTACACCTAAGTAATCATGAGATCTATGTGCTTCTCTCAATCATTGTCCTTTTTCTCTATTCCCTCACACTGCATGCATGCACTGGTCCAACCAACCATGTCTAAGTACTACCATGATTCTGTGACAGAGAAAGGCAAATGTGCAGCTTGTTTGGATATTCAAGTGTTCTCCAAGGGCACACCACTCTATGTTTCAGCGTAGGTCTCTAGTTAACTATGCCAAATAACTTATGAGTCAACCCATATGGTCAAGGACAAGAGTTTGTCTTTCCTCAGCATGATGCTAAAAGTCTTTGTAGATCTATTATAAACTATAACTCAACAATTTAGCCACTGGATCTCCCAGAGGAAACGTTAATAAAGGGTTGTGCCGATAACCTGTAGACAACTCAAGAGAAATTCTGCTCTTGCAATCCATTTTATGTTAATTCCATCTCTACACACTTGTCAGTGTCTTAAGATCTCACTGATGAGTTCAGACTATAAAATGGTATCTTAATGTCCTCCATCAACCTGCTCAAATAGGAAACAGTAAAACAGACAAAGATCATCTCTGTATAGGACTACTAATTTGCAACCTAAAAATGAGGACATGAAATGAAACTGATGCTTTCTTCCTTGAGCCCCGAGCATCCACACGAATACTTGTCTCTGAGAGAATAGTCACTGCAGTTCCTGAACCTGAAATTTATCTGTTGCAGCTTTCACACTTGGTAAATACATTGACCAATGAGGATGGTGATAGAACTGATGGCAGCTGTAACTTCTGATACTCTTTGTAATGTCAAATATTCTGGGCAATTCCCTATTTATCGCCCAAACAGCCTGTGGCATTTTTTTTTCAGGTGCCCTGAAGTGCTCTTGCAAAGTCATGAATTCCTATGAAACAAGCATTGATGTCTAAGTTCTGTTTAGCTTAAATTGTAGAAGAATCAAGGAAGCTATCTCTAGCATACGTTGTAAAGGAACTGAGGAAGCTATCTTTAGCCCCAAGAGCATAGACTTCATTGTATATGATAGAAAAAACCACAAATGAATATTCTAATACTTTACATTTAATCTGGTGGTAAGTGTAATTTTGGGGTTCTCTGTGGCTTTGGAGGATGTCCTAGAACTAACTCTTGTAGACCAGGCTGGTCTGGAACTCACAGAGATCCGCCTGCCTCTGCCTCCTGAGTGCTGGGATTAAAGGCATGTGCCACAAATGCCGGAGAAGTTTTGTAATTTTTAAAAGTGACACATGAGAGAAAGATGCATTGAGACAGAGCATCTTTATGTTTTTGTTTTTAAATTAGAAACATGCTTGCTTCACATGTCAATCCCAGCTACCTCTCCCACCCCTCCTCCCTTGCCCCCCACCTAATCCCCACACCATTCCCCAGGAATCACCATTCAAGCCCTCCACAGGGGAATATCTAGAAACTGTCATTTCATCTGGGCCAGGGCCTAAGCCTTCCCCGATGTGTCCAGGCTGAGAGAGTATCTCTCCATGTGGAATGGGCTCCCAAAGTTCATTCGTTCACCATGGTAAACACTGATCTACTACCCAAGACCCCAGAGACTGCCAAGGCCTCCTCACTGACACCCACGTTCAGGGGGTCTGTATCAGTCCCATGCTGGCCTCTCAGCCATCAGTCAGGGGTCCATGAGCTCCCTCTTGTTCAGGTCAGCTGTCTTTGTGGTTTCACCAGCATGGTCTTGACCCCTTTGCTCATCACTCCTCCCTCTCTGTCACTGGGTTCCAGTTCAGTTCAGTGTTTAGCTGTGGGTGTCTGCCTCTGCTTCCATCAGTTTCTGGATGAAGGCTCTAGGATGGCATATAAGGTAGTCGTCAATCTCATCAGCAGTGAGGGGCTATTAATGTAGTCTCTCCACTATTGCTTAGTTTGCCAGCTGCTGTCATCCTTATAGATCTCTGGGAATCTCACTAGTGTCAGCTCTCTCTTCAAACCTATAATGACTCCCTCTATTATGGTATCTGCCATCCTGCTCTCCTTTAGTCTTCCCCTGACTCAACCTTCCTGCTCCCCCATGTCTTCCTCTCCCCTAATCTTTTCCCCCTCTCTTTTTCCAGGTTCCCTCTCTACTCCCCTCATGCTCCCAATCTGCTCAGGAGATCTTGCCTTATTCCCCTTCTCTGAAGTATCATTTACATCACTCTTGGGAAACCCCCTATTTCCCAGACTCACTGGCAATGGGATTGTAGGCTGACACTCCCCTGATCCATGTCTAAAATCCATATATGAGTGAGTACATACCATGTTTCTCTTTTTGTGACTGGGTTACCTCACTCAAGATGCTTTTTCTAGTGCCATCCATTTGCCTGCAAACTTCAAGATTCCATTGTTTGTTTGTTTTCTCTACTGAGTAGTACTCCATTGTGTAAATGTACTACATTTTCTCTATCGACTCTTCAGTTGTGGGGCATCTAGATTGCTTCCGGGATCTGGCTATTACAAATAATGCTGCTATGAATATAGTGGAACACAATCCTTGTTGTATGAATGGGCATCTTTTGGGTAAATGCCTGAGAGTAGAATTTCTGGGTCTTGTGGTGACTGATTCCCATTTTCCTGAAGAATTTCCATAGTGGATGTACAAGCTTGCACTCCCACCAGCAATGGAGGAGTGTTCCCCTTTCTCCACATCGTCTCCAGCATAAGCTGTCATTGGTGCTTTGTTGCTTTTTTCCCATTCTTATAGGAGTAAGATGATATCTCAGAGTTGTTTTGATTTGCATTTCCCTAATGGCTAAGAATGTTGAGCATTTTCTTAAGTGTCTCTCAGCCATTTTAGACTCCTCTATTGAGAATTCTCTATTTAGTTCTGTAGCCTACTTTTCAATTGGATCCTTTGGTGTTTTAGGGACTTGCTTCTTGAATTCTTTGTAAATTTTGGCAACACAGCCCTCTGTCAGATGTGGGGTTAGTGAATATCTTTTCCCATTCTGTGGGCTGCCTTTTTGTCTTGTTGACTGTGTCCTTTGCCTTACAGAAGCTTCTCAGTTTCAGGAGGTTCCATTTATTAATAGTCGATCTCAGTGTCTGTGCTACTGATGTTTATGTTCAGGAAGCGGTCTCCTGTACCAATTCATTCAATGGTGCTGGTGGAGGGGTATTTACTGGGGAAAAGTGAATGGGAAAAGGAGGAAGGGGAAAAGGGACACCAGCCTCTGGGGACAAAAGCCGCAG